CAGAAACTTTCCAACGTGGAAAAGCAGACAGAATAACATAATCATTCCCCATGTGCCCGTGGTCCAGCTTGAACAATCATCATCATATGGCCAATGTTGTTTCACCTGCTTCATACTTCATTTCACCAAACATCCCAACAGCACTCAAATTTTCCCAATTGTTTCATAAACCTATTCCTACACATGGTTTGCTTGAATCAAGACCCAAACAAGACCCACACATTGTATTTGGTTGCTATGCCCTGTAAGTTTCATTTTTCCATACTTTTCCCTGAACTTTTTTCCCCTCAACCTTTTAAATTTAGAAAATGTTCAAACCTATAGAAATGAATTGAAAGAATAATACAATGAATACTGGTTACCTTCTAAGTTGCAGACATCATGATACTTTGTTCTTAAATGCTTTTAGTATCTTCTATGAACAAGAACATTGTCCTACATATTCATGATCTAAAAAATAACATTGTATTATTTTATAATTATAATTATAATAAATTGTTTTAAATAAATTATAACTTTATTAACTTATGTTATAATTTATATTATAGTTATTCATAATAGCTAATGTTAATAGATTTTTTAAAGTTTTAAATTTCCTTCATGGTATCAATAATATCTTTCATAGGTTCAAGTACTGCATTTGGTTATTATGTTTCTTTAGTGTTTCAAACTAGAACTGTCCTCGTGCCCTCTTTGGTTTCCCTTTTTAAAGAGTTGAGGTCAGTTGGCTTGAGAATGCCCCACATTCTGGGTTTGTCTGATTGTTTCCTCATAATTGGATCCAGGTTAAACATTTTTGGAAGGTGACTACAGAGGTGATGTTTACTTCAGATTGCACATAATGACCATTTGTACCATCATGCTAAGTATGATCACTTGGCTAAAAGGTGGTGTCAGCCAGATGTCTCCTCTATAAAGGTTCCATTGCTTCACTTGTAATGCTACCTAAGGCTGGGCGTGGGAAGGGTGGGTGGGTGTGAAACATGAGACCCCATGTAACAATCCTGTTCCCTAAAACCTTTCCCTCAATGATGTTTACATTCATTGCTAGATCACTGGCAAATTGATTATTACACTGGGAATTGAAGAATAACGATTATCACATTATATAATCTCTTCTATATATACAAGGTGGCATTGTCTAGTCAAGAACAGCTCTCTTTCTCTCCCCTTCCCCTGTTAATCATGCTCACTACTGTTGGTCTTTATGATGCTCAAACTATCCCAAATTTGGCCAGCAGGTAGCCCTTCAATCTGGCTCCTGTGTCTTAGTCTACAGAAACCTTAAAAATACTGTTTTTCCTTTCTAATTAGCAAAGTAATACATATTCACTGCAAAATATTTCGAAAGAGAAAACTGCAAAATAGGGGAGGTTCCTATATCCCCCCACCTAAAAATAATTACTATAAACATTTTGACCTTCTTTCCAGGAGACAGAATTTTTTTTCCTCTGATGTTTTGTTACATAAAAAGAAACATAATCTAGAGCATTTCATCTTTTCACCAAACTTATTTCCACAGCAGTTTTTTCCCACCTCATGAAATACTATTCTGTACCATTCTTTTAATGATGTAGTTACTCGTATGGATGTACCATAATTTACTTAACGAATGCTCTATGGTTAGGAACTTAGTTTGTCCCCAACTTCTTTTATTACCACCAAGTTTAAATATTTTTTCTTATCTGTGCTGGTCACTTAGAGATACTCTTTTGTGAACTGCATTTTCATGTTCTTTGATTGTTAATAAAAAACCTCTACTGAGAGGTTTATGGCTTTCTTATTAAATATTAAATTTCTTATTAAGTACATCAATTTCTTTTAAATTTTTTATAATAAACTCTAACATAAAAGTCTAACTTATTAGAAATTTTCTAGTCACTGTATCCATCTTTTATTTTCCACTTTCTGCCTTTGATAATACATTTACAACAATCTTTCTCACCCCAAGATTATATTAACATTCATTTGTGTTCTATTACATTTTACTCCTCAATCCATCTAAAATTTTAGTTTAGTAGGTGGCAGTGGTTGAGGATCTAATTTGATTTTTTGCCCACATGAGAAACTGGTTATCCCCAAACCACTGACTGAACATTTCATCAATTCCTCATTGTTTTGAAATATTTGTATTATATGTATACTAAATGATAACAAATAATTAGGCCTATGATTGGACTTTCTATTTTGTCCCACTAAGCTTGATGTCTAAGTTCTTCTTCATTGTCTCTTTCCCCAGTATTTCCAGTATTATCTCCTTGATTACATTCACTAGCTGCAAATCTTTCCTTTACAAAATGTATACTTTTGTTTTCTTATTTTATTGAAGACACATTTCTGAACAATATCAAATAAAATGATTTCCCCTTCTTGATGTCTTTGAGTCTTCGCATGGTGGACTAAAGTTGGCTGTCCCAATAAATTTGCTTTTTTTCTAAGAATGCTAAGCACTAAACAAAGAGCTTGGCATATATTCTCTCTCCTTATCCTTTACAACAATCTTATAAAGGAAACAACATTTTCTCTATTTTTTAGATGAAGAAACTAAGGCTTCAAGAGGCTAAATAACTAGTCCAGATTTATAAGACCTGGATATGGTGCTGCCAGAATTGTACCCCAGGTTAATACAGTCAGGGCACATGGCTGTTCTATACTTTGTGAGTTCTTGTGGATCTAAGAAAGCTCTTCTATTGTCTTCAAACACAATTTGGCTGAATGAGAATTACTTATTACAATCCTTTTCCACAGATATTCCACAGATATTTTTAGTTCAAATTTGTTTCAGTTAAAATTGAGTTCAATTGCATTTAATAGAAAACTCAGATAACAGTGGCTTTTAAAAATGTACATATACATGTATGTGTGTGTGTATACATATATACGTGTGTGAAAAATCCAGAAGTAGATTCTAAGGGTGGTATCACGTGGACCCAAGGTCAACATGGACCCAGGTGTCTGCCATCTTTTGTTTTTCCTTTTTTCATAAACGTGTGTCTACTGTCCTTTTTTTAACATGTGGCTTCCATTCTTTCATTCTTCCATTTTGTTCCCCTTAATGGGCACAGGGTGCCACTGCAGTTCCAGCTTTTACACCCATATTCTACAGAGCAGGAAGCAACAAGGGAGTCTTGAAAACGTGGTTGGCACGTTGCCACACCTAACAAAAAGGGACTAAGGAAGTAGAGGTAGCCGGTTAGCAGCTTCTGCAGCAGTCTTACCAGGATATAGCAAGGTACTGAATTTATTTTTTATCACTTTTGTTTAAGTCTTCAACTCATAAATATGTTCTATTAAATCTGTAACTGTTGCTTAGGTTACATTTATTCTGGTTTTATTTGGTTCTATTTAATCTCACACTGGTCTTCTGTGTTTCTATGCTACTGTTTGATTTGCTGCATTGTGGTTCTGCTCATCTCTATGTCTCATAAACTTCAAAATTCCAACATTTACCTTAAATTATTTTTTAAAATATTCAGCTCCTTCAAAAACTTTGTTCTGCATCTTAGCCTTTTATAGTTAGCCAACTCCTTTTATAGTTCAGATTCATTATCATTTTTCTTGTACCTCTTATATCAGAGACAAGAATTTTTCAGAAAAAAAATTTTTGTGTATAAAGTTAAAAGAAATTAATATGACAAACACCAGTATATCAACCAGCTGAAGCTGATAATTATTAACATTTTCTCCTATTTGTTGTGTTGGTTTAAAATCCAACCAAACCTCCACCTTAACTCTGGCAATCCCAAAACCCTTTACTATATACTCTTATCCCTTTTCTACAGCACTTATGACCTCCTAACATAACGGGTAGTTTTCTTATATTTTACGGCCTTTTCCCTACCTCTGGTATATAGGGTCCATGAGAGCAGGATCTTTGTCTGTTTCGTTCACTGATGATTCCCAAGTACCTAGAACACTTCCTGGAACATAGTAGGCACTCAATAAATATTTGTTGAATATTCAAATAAGTGAAGGAAAATATATTTTTAGATGTATTCATGTTGATATATAGACTTAGTCCATTTCTTTTAACTGCTACATAAAGAGTAGCCATTAATGCCATAAGAATAAACATAGCTAACATTTATTAGGTACTTACTATGTTTCAAGCACTATTCTAATGACATTTCTCATATAATGCTCAAATAGACCTGAGATAAGTACTGCTCACAACCCCCATGTTACAAATGAAGAAATTAAGACGAGTGAGTGGATACAAAATCAACATACAGAAATCAGTTCCATTTCTACACACTAACAATAAAACACCTGAAAAAGAAAATATTCCCATTTACAACAGCATCAAAAACAATAAAATACATGGAAATAAATTTAACCAAGGAAGTGAAGATCTGTATGTTGAAAACAATAAGACTGATGAAAGAAGCTAAAGTAGACACAAGCAAATGGTTAAGATATTCTGTGCTCATGGATCAGAAGAATTAATACTGTAAAAATATCCATATTACCCAAAGCCACCTACAGAATCAGTGCAATGTCTATCAAAATTCCAAAGGCATTTTTTAGAAAAATGAAACAAACAATCCAGAAATTTGTATGGAACCAAAAAAGACCCCAATTAGCCAGAGCAATCTTGAAAAAGAACAACAAAGCTGGAGGCATCACACTTCCTGATTTCAAACTAAGCTACAAATCAATAGCAGACAAAACAGTAATGGTACTCGAATAAAAACAGACACATAGACCAATGGAATAGAACTGAGAGCCTAGAAACAAGCCCTCACATATGCAGTCAACTAATACTTGACAAACCAGGAATGCCCAATGGAGAAACAGTCTCTTTAATAAAGTGTTTAGTAAAGAAATAATCAACAAAATGAAAAGGCATCCTATAAAATGGGAGAAAATATTTCCAAATCATGTATCTGATAAGGGATTAATATCTAAAATATATAAAGAACTCATACAACTCATTAGCAAACAACAAACAATCAAATTTTAAAATGGGCAGAGGATCTGAATAGACCTTTTTCCACAGAAGACATATAAATGGCAAATAGGTACCTGAAAAGGTACTCAATATCACTAATTACTAGGGAAATGCAAATCAAAACCACAAAGAAACCCTCCTACACTGTTGGTGGGAATGTAGTTTGCTGCAGCCATTACAGAAAACAGTATATAGATTCCTTAGAAGACTAAAAACAGACTTACCGTATGATCCAGCAATCCCACTCTTGGGCATATATCAAAAGGAAACCTTAATTCAAAAAGATACATGCACCCCAGTGTCCACAGCAGAACTATTTACAATAGCCAAGACACGGAAACCACCTAAATGTCCATCGACAGATGACTGGATAAAGAAGTTGTGGTATAATTATACAATGGAATACTACTCAGCTATAAAAATTAATGAAATAATGCCATTTGCAGCAACATGGATGGACCTGGAGATTGTCATTCTAAGTGAAGTAGGCCAGAAAGAGAAAGAAAAATACCGTATGATATCACTTATATGTGGAATTAAAAAAAAGACAAATGAACTTATTTACAAAACAGAAACAGACTCACAGACATGGAAAACAAATTTATGGTTACCAGGGGCGAAAGGGGATGGAAAGGAATAAATTGGGAGTTTGAGATTTGCAGATACTAACTAATATATATAAAATAGATAAACAACAAGTTCATACTGTATAGAACAGGTAACTATATTCAATATCTTGTAGTAACTTATGGTGAAAAAGAATATGAAAACAAATATACATATGTTCATTTATGACTGAAGCATTATGCTGTACACTAGAACACAACATTGTAAACTGACTATACTTCAATAAAAATAGATATATATAAAACTGAAAATTTTTTTAAATAAAATATAAAGAAAGGAAAAAAAGAAACCGTGAGCTATCACCTCACACCTGTTAGAATGGCTATCATCAAGAAGAGATTAATGATGACGTGGAGAAAAGGAAACGCTTGTGCACTGTTGGTGGGAATGTAAATTAGTGCAGCCACTGTGGAAAGCAGAATGAAGTTTTCTCAAGAAATTAAAAATAGAACTACCATAAAATCCAGTAATCCCACTTCTGCTTATACATCCAAAGGAAATGAAAACAGGACCTAGAAGAGATACCTGCACTCCCAAGTTCATTGAAGCACTGCTCACAGTAGTCAAGATATGAAAACAACCTAAGAGCCTGTCAATGGATACATGGGCAAATGTGGGAAATATATACAATGGAATATTATTCTGCCATGAGAAAGAAGGAAATCCTGCCATTTGTGACAACATTGATGAGTCTTGAGGGCATTATGCTAAGTGAAATAAATCAGAGAAAGATATATACTGTATGATCTCACGTACATGTGGAATCTAAAGAAGTCAAACTCATAGAAATAGAGTAGAGCGGTGGTTACCAAGGGCTGAGGGGTACGGGAAATGGGGAAGTGTTGATCAAAGGGTACAAATGTCTAATTATAAGGTAAGTCTGGGGAGCTAGTGTACAGCATGGTGATTATAGTTAATACTGTATTATATACCTGAAAGTCACTTAAGAGAATAGATCTTAAATGTTCTCACCACAAAAAAGGAGTGGTTCATTATCCAACACAATGGAGGTGGTGGCTAACACCACAGTGGTAACCATTTTTCAGTACAGAAGTGTATCAACACATTGTACACCTTATACTTACACAATGTGTCAGTTACACCTCAATCAAGCTAGAAAAAAGAAAAAACAGATCAGTGAGCGGTACAGCTGGATTAAAACTCAGGCTTCTGGCCTCAGAGCTATACACTAAATCACTGTGATAGAGTGCTGAAAAATAGACAAACCACATGTATCCCTTTCTCTGATGACACTGAGGTTGTTTGCAATTTTATCATGAACAACTTTCAATGAACATCGTTGTGTCAATCTCCCTTTGCAAACGTAGAGCGTCTCCTGAGGATCTGTACCTCAAGTGGAAGAGCTATGGAATCCTTTCTGTTTGTTTTTTCGAAAGGACAGAGCAGAGCAGATGTTTACAACTTCCTTTACTTCAAAAAAAAAATTTCTCTCTGATAGAATACATATTCCATGAAGGCAGGGATTTTTCTCTTTGGTTCACTGTTCTATTCTAAGCATCAGAAGAGTGTCAGGTACAGGCAAACTAATCAGTAAATATTTGGTAAATGTATGAATGGTTCTTGAATGGTTCTGTTGCTTTAATTATGAAAACTTTGTATAGGGTCCCAAACTGTGTGAGGAGAATTTCTATTTACTCATCTTTATACATTGAGAATTTTACCCAAACCTCAGATTTACCCCCAAACATGACTGGGAGAGAGGACTCTTCTCGGATTCCAGCACTTCCTCTGGATGTTATTAGAATTCTCCTCGAGGACTTTAAGCTGGGAGGTGGGAAACAGGTTCGGTGACCAAACAACCTGAGGAGAATGGGGAGGGAGCCACAGCTGTAAACACCTTGGGACAGTGTCCCCTGCGGCCTGGGGTGGCCTGACCTTCTTGGTGCTGCCAACCACCATGCCAAGGCTAGCCCTGCCCCTGGAGAGACGGACCTCAAGCGTCACCAGCCCCACGGATACCACCAAGCCACAGCAGCTACCAGGACTCCAGTGAAGGGCTCCCAGGCCGTCCTACTGCTCACTTTTGCCCTCATCCCTCACCCCTCACAGCAGGGCAAGTTTATGGGATCCAAAACCAGACTCGCAGTTAGCCCTCAAGTGCCAATGTGGCCCCACGGCACACATCTACGGAAATCCCTTCAGTATCTTGCACGTGAACAGTGCCCTTCTGGAGAATCCAGCAATGCCACAGGTTTCCCCTCTGTTTGTGTTTTGCTGGTCACTCCAGCCATGCTCAGAAGAGGGGAAGGAATCAGAAGCACACACCCACCTCAGCATTAACTTGTTTTCGGCTGTGTTTTCCCAAAATGTCATAAATCACTTACAGACAACAGGACAGTGGCCGTACAAGAAAACTGTCACTTTGGGTTCTTTTTTGACTGCTGCTTATTATGGGAAAGCAGCTGTACCTCTGATACTTATTTTTAAAACTCTTTTTAGGGATAACTGTTGGGCGAAGGAGACGGCACATCAAACATTTTCACACATAAAACACAGGAATGGTTTTCTTATGAACGGAATTGAAGAGAACATTGGAGCATTTGGAGAGAGTGGCTCCATTCCTTTATTCCTCTTGTCTGTTCTCCACAGCCTATTCATTCTTTCACATTTTCTCTTTATGTGAATGATCTCCTTTTTGGTTTTGCTGTTCACTCAAGACCCATGCTGATTCTGAGCTACCAACTCTTAGGAAGCTTCTGGCATGAACAAATCCATCAAACGTTTAGGCCTACTATGTGCCAGGCCTTCCTTTAGGGGCTGAACAGAATAAAGTTCCTGATCTTGTGGAGCTTACATCCCACCTCATGAAGCGCACTTTTTCATAAGCGAAATAGATAATAAACAAGTAAGTATATGCCAGGCCGTGCTGGTGCAAGGAAGAAAGGGGAGTCAAAGCACAGGGCAAAGACGGCGGGGGAGGTGCTACTCTAGAGAGCAGGGAAGGCCCCTAGACCCTTTTCCTTATATCCTGGAAGAGTGTGGGAAGGGATGGTGAGACGTCCCAGTAATACAATCTTACTTCAACAGGACTCCCTAATCAGTGGATGTTTGTCCGTGAACATCCCTGTTAAGGTGAGACCATTTTGTGCATCATGAAATCCCGAGTCTCAGAAGCAAATGTTTCATTCCTTGATCTTAACATCCTCATCTATAAAATAAAAACACTTCATGTTAGAATTACTGTAAAGATCCAGTAAGCCAGCAAATATACAGTGCCTGCACACAGTCCACACTCAGTACATACGGGCTTTCTTTTCCGTGTTACCTTTCTAGTAGGTGATTGTGAGCATATACTGCACTCCATGTTCTTACTCTCTGGGAACATATACAGCATGTGTAATCCTCATTCATCCCAACCTGCAGAGAGAGGCACTGCAAGGACTCTCAGGGATGGGGAAAGGAGATCAGGACCTATCTTATGAAAAATCACTAAAAATACAAAAAGCTAATAGCTTCCCCAAGTAGACCAAAATGGCTAAAAATCTGAGATGTTGCCTGCCTGATACTCTAGTTTCATACACCCAGACTTGGAATACTGCAAAGTTTCTATTTTGACCTTGCTTTTATTTATGAGAGCCCTGGCCTCATAAACAAAAACACCATGGTCCAGGACGGCAGACTCAGGAGCACTGGGGCACAAGTGCTCTGGGGTCTGACTACTCACAGTTAGTGGCCCTAACTGATCCCCTCTTCTCACTGCTTCCCATATTTCACCACATTTGGCTGTAAAGTACACCTTTGTCCCCATCTCTGTCTTATCATTACACTACATCAGGAAAGCATTCTTTCACCTCCTTGGAAAGCTCTAGTGCCAAGAAATAATGAAAAGGTACTTCTCTGGATGGAAAATTCCATGTTGTTCAGAGATATGAATGCAGAGAAAAGAGAGCTGTCAGCAGGCATCTTTTGAGCCTACCGAATCCATGTTACATTCTTTATGGTTCCAAAGCAAACTAGAACGTTGCAAAGGATGCAACATGTCCTGGAGTCTGATTCCCATACTGTTCTTTGACACATAAAGATTTTTAAAAATTCCAGGAATTTGCTTAAGGTTGACAACTTTTAATTTTTCAAATAAAGACTTTAAAAATTTTTTTAAAAAGGGAAGACTACCTACTCCTATTGCCATTTCATTTCATTTCAAAAGGATGATTTAGTGGTATAACTATGCAAGGGAATATAATTCAGTCACAAAGCAATGAGGTTATGACACATGTTACAACATGGATGAACCTTGAAAACATTAAGCTAAGTGAAATAAACTAGACACAAAAGGACAAATACTGTATGATGCCACTTGAGCTATCTAGAGTAGTCAAATACAGAGACAGAAGTAGATCAAAGGTCACCAGGGGCTCAGGGGAGGGAGGAAGGGGAGGGTATTGCTTAATGGGTACAGAGTTTCTGTTTGGAGTGATAAAATTCTTTTGAAAAAGACAGTGGTGATGGTTGCACAATATCAGGCAATTAATGACACTGAATTGTACACTTTATAAATGGTTAAAATGGCCCCAAATGGGGGGATATCTTCACACATACACACAACACAGAAGAAAGCACGGAGGTAAACAGACACCCACAGATGTCTCCACTGAGGTAGAAGATAAGGACAGGTACAGATCCAAGCGAGTTTATGAATTCAGCTGTGAAAACAGAAATAGTTCTGCATCACCTGCGGAGAGTGAGAGTTTTGAGATTGGAATCTTACTTCTTCTGTCAGCTCTGTACTCCTCTTATCCAGTGTTTAATGCTCTCCATGATCTAGTCCTGGGTTTACCTACCCAACACATCACTACTATAAACGATCCACCCCAGTTAAGCCATGCTCCTCACTAGCCTAGGAGAACATCCAGCTCTTTCCCATCTCCATCTCCTTATTCATGCTGCCAGGCCTTTTCCACTGTTCAGCCACACCCTCCTGGTCTTCAAGGCCAGCTCCACATGGAGATTATCTCTTCCCTAATTATCTTACCTTCCTAACCATCCTCAGTGACTCCCCTGGCCTTTAACACCACCAGCACACAAGACGCCATTCCCCATGAGACATTACTTACCCACAGTAGCATACTGGTTATTGTCTTCCATTTGTTAGTCTTGCATAGGCTCCTGCTCTTAATCTTATTTCCCATATACCTTACTGAACAAGCACTAACAGTCTTAGGAGTACTCAGTGAATTCTACTATTGTTGATTAGTGAATAATTGATAATAGTTGGTATTACATAACCCACGTATTCTACAGTGCTTACACATACATAATCACAGGATCATTGTTTACCACAGTATCTTAAATCCTCACAATAAACTAACCAATGGAATATTAGCTCCATTTTAATGAAAGGCTTCCTAGTATGTCGAACTAAGAATAAACCCAGAGAAGCCTTTTTATATATAAAATGACATATTTATTTGGTTATTTAATAAATGCTTTGTCACACACCTGGGTCTATCTACCCAAATTATTTATAAAACTATTTTCAACTTTAAATAGCTTTAAAAATTTAACACATATAAAAAATTTTTTTAATTAAAAAAGTTAATGCATAATATATATTTGTTAGAGAAAAATGAAAAAGTCACAGGTAAAAGTTTATAATCACACTGCCTTAAAGTCAACAACTGTCAACAACTTTCCACACATTTGTTCATAAGTATATGCAGACCCCTTTCTTTGAACACAAAATGGGATTTTGTGTATATATTGGCATGTAAAATGTGCATCTATGTTCCCATTAATGACTCATGACTTATGAGCCAGTCCTCTATTTCTGTACGTTTAATTAAGTTGGCTCACATTGTTTCTATCATTTAAAAAACTACAACGCACATTCCTCTGTCTTCACGCACCCGTCCAGCTATTGTCTTCGAATGAATTCCTGAGAGTAGGACTTACAGTAAGAATCTGTTTTTGAAATGTTTTTTAAATGAAATTGAGATGGTAAAACAGAGTTAGGGTGCACGCTGATTTTTCGGTACTCGGATGTACTTAAAAAATTTTAAACCAAATAAAACTCCAACTGTTATTTTTTAATATGTACGAAGAATTTAAATAGATGGTTTCGACATTCCAGCCCTTTCAAACTATGAAAACATACAGATGAAGAGCACAGAAGTCCAATGTTGATTTGGAAGATCAGACATATCCTAATTTCAAAAACATTTTTATTTATTTAATCAAATGAAAGATAAAGGTTAAGCAGAAAAAAAGATGAACCCGGATATGTAAAAATGGATCTCCACCAATTTTTAAAAGAAAAAAGTTTTATTTTTCTGATCCAAGAAATACATGCTCATTATAGAAAATTTGGAAAATACATAGAAGAATGAAAATACGAATTTCCCAGAATCCAACAATACATAAGACAGCCTTACAGTTTTACTATTTTCTTACACGTGTATTTTTTTTTGCCATCCTCCTTCTCTTCCCCACCGGAGCTCCCCACAAAAGTGGGGAAGGCAGCTCCTTGAGGGCCACAGCCTGTGAATACCTCCACACCTTTCATCTTCACTGCAGGCCTCCTTCCTTGCTGAGCTGTGGATTGTTTGCTTGCCACTTCCCAGATTTCTACGCAAATACACAACCCACCCGGAGGCAAGGCCAAGGTCCTCTGCTCCTGAACTGCCGATGCCCAGCCTATCAGGAGAACTCACAGTGTCAACTCCACTTCAGAGCCAGACTTCTCCCCAGGAACATTCTGAAGATTACTTCAGCTGACCCAACATCTTGGACAGTAACTAATGCCTCTAAAATTTATATAGCACTTTAAAGTTTAACAGGTTCTCTCACACATGTTTAATTCTCACAAGGGCCCTCTGAAGTAGATAGAGCAGATATCCCCATTTAACAGGAAGGAAACTGAGGTGCAGAGGAACTGAGATCATAGCTAGTCAGTAGCAGAGCTTGGATCTGAAGGCATAAATTGACTCTGGGGTCAGAGTTCTTTACCTAGCCAGTAATAACAAAACATTTTTAAGTCCTACAACTGGAAATTAAGAGCTAGAAAGATCGTCAATAAATCTTCTAACCTAATCACTTCTTAGTAGTCACATGAAAGGAAAGTAAGTCCCAGAAAAGGTGGGTGATTGCCCAAAGTCACCAACTATTTTGTAATGAAGAGGATCTAAAGGCACATCTTCGGACTCCCATGCCAGTGCTCACTCCAGTCGTCCCTAGGGAGGTGTTCTTTAATAAGCTGGTCTCTCATCCGGTGTCTTCCGTTTAGCCAAATGTCAATCAGGAATTAAAATCCTAAAAGTGCAGAGTGTTAGAGCCAGAAGGGACCTTAAAGACCACCCAGGCCATCCCACTCACTTTACAAATGAGAAAAGTGAGGTCCAAAACCCATGAATTCTGCGGTTCAATTCTCTGCACTTCCGCTCATCGCTTCACTTCCCTTCTGAGTAGTTATAAACAAAATCTGTCCAAAGACGTTTTCTTCCTTCTTGGACATTCTGTGTGATAGGTCACAGATCAGCAAGCCAAAGTGAAACTGAACAGGATTTGATTTCAGAAGACACTTGGTTGGTAAGAGATGTACCCACCATGACCGTATCACAAAATAAGCAGTTCCACTGGATTCTAAGCAGGCTCCCCTAGTCTCCACCCAGAGGGAAGACCTATTGAAAGGTGCATATTGTTTTGCTAGAGGCTTCTACTCCACAAATCAGTCACTAATCCTGATTAAAACTGGCAGCATATCACCATAGCTGTCACTGTTTCCTAACCTCAAAGGACCCAGACCCTCCTCCCAGTCTTTGGGTACCATTCAAATCCACTTCTGAATGTGTGCTACCTTGGTTCTTCTTCTATGGTTCCACCGTTCTACAGCCATTCTCCCGGTTTTACAGCCAGCCTTATCTCTCTGGTGAGGTAGAAAGCTCTTTGAGGGCAAAGGTCCACTTCTAATGACACCTACTCGTGCCAGACACTGTGCTTGGCAGGACAGCATACAGGGCCCCTACCTTCAAGAAACTTACAGAAGGATAAACAAAACCATGTGCAAACCAAGTGAAGCCACAGGGGTATAAACGAGGAAGCCGAGGAAGCCGAGGAGGAGCCGGGAGAGCGAGCATCAACCAGTGGGGTAGCTGCCGGGTCAGCTAACAGACCTAAGTCGTAAAGGACTGGGGGAATCATTCAGGGCAAGGGTGGCAGAGGGCAGGCTAGGCAGGCAAGCCAGGCAGGCGGGCCAGAGTCAGCAAAGGCAAGGAGAGAAACAGTTCAACGCTGTAGGAACAAGTGCAGGGCAGAAGTCGGAGTTGAGGCTGCAGCTGCGGGCCTAGCAAGGTGGCCCCAGCAACAAGCCCGCATAATTTTGCTCTGACCCGGTTCGGAGGCCGATGACGCAATTCACGAGTAAATGAATTTGCGCTCCCGTAGCCAGGCTGTGTCAATGACGGCCTGCGGCGACCGCGCGACCCCCTCCCCCAGGCACCTGTGCACTTTCTCAGCCAAAGCACACGCAGGGCTGCCTCAACTGGCCCGGCCCCCGACCCCAGGCCCCCGTTTCTCCGCTCCGGTTTAAAACGCCTGTTGACGCACCGTGGCGGGTGTCTGCGCGCCAGCGGTCGGCCCGGCGGTTTTC